TAAACCGTTGGCTTTCCTAGTGGACAATCTTAGGCTTTAAAAAAAGAAAATAATAATAACCTGGTAGAATTTCTCAGTATTTCCCACAAAACAGTTTGGTGAGAAAGCTGTAGGAGGAGATTAAACCCTCAGAACAAAAGAACTATAGTTTGCAGTGGTTCTTCAGAAGAAGGAATGATGGTTAAATCCACTTCAAATCCAGTAGACAGAGACCATGGATAAAGCCTTTACTTGCATAAACAATGGGGATCCACCTCACAGGTCAGTCACCTAATTACTCAAATTAATTCATTAAAGCATACATATCCCATCTTTCCACTTTAAAATTAGTCCAGCTTCCAATTACTTTAAAAATCCCATAAATGAATTAAAATATAAATGTACCAGCCCATATGAAAGCCAGTGTGGTGTCTTGGTTAAAGCATCAGGCTGAGATTTGGGAGACCCGGGTTCAAATCCCGACTCTGCTGTGGAAGGCCTGCTGAGTCGCACTGGGACAGGGAGGCAGCCTCTCAGCCTGACCTCTCAGATAGGTGGGTTGTTGTGAGGATAAAATGAAGGAGGGGAGAAAGGTGTTGTCAGCCATTTTGGGTCTGCATTGGGGTGGAGAAAGTGGGGTATAAACATACAGGGCTCTTTTTGTAGCAGGAACTCCTTTGCATATTAGGCCACACACCCCTAATGTAGCCAATCCTCCAAGAGCTTACAGAGCTCTTCTTACAGGGGCTACTGTAAGCTCTTGGAGGATTGGCTACATTAGGGGTGTGTCGCTTAATATGCAAATGAGTTCCTGCTACAAAAATAAATGGGCATTCACATACCAGCAGGCTATTGTAGGGTTGCCAGCCACAATTTCGGGTGGGGTGAGGGGGACACAGGCATGTTGTCATCCCACCACTATGTGACATCATGACATCAGGGGCGACACTCTAGAACTGGCCCAGAATATCACCCCAACGTCATGATGTCACTTCCGGTTTTTCACTGGAAGTAACATCACGATGTTGGGAGCGATATTCTAGGTGAATCCGAGGCCGCCACCCCTGAAGACATGACGTCACTCCCGTTTTTTTTGCTGTAAGTGTCATCGGACACTGGTCCGAGAACAGCATTCTCTCTCCCCCCCCCCATTTCCCTCCACGAGCCTTTTGGAAGCCCCAGTGGGAAAGACAGGGAATGGCTGGGGGGGGGGCATAGCTCCCCTAGGCTATTGCAGTGCTGACATGCTAATGTTCCATGCAAATATGGCACGTGCTTCCATGGAATGTAGACTAAGCCTATGGCCACCTCCAAAAGGCCAAATGGCTCCTCTCCCATTTGTGCAGGTGCTGGGTGGACTGGCATTAGGCATTGGAGGCTGTGTGTGGTGGAGGGCAGTAGCTTACTGCTGAGTATGGGGGAAATTCCACGCATAATAGACAGGGTGGCCAGGTGCCTTCGACTTCCTGGCGGAGGGGTTGCTCTAAAACAAAAGGGGCTAGAGAATTAAAAAAAAGAAGAACCCAATAATTCAGAGACTCCAATACACAAATTAGAAAAACAAAACAAAAAAGCCCCTGCTTAGGGTTGCCAGGTCCCCTTGTCGCTACAGAGGGAGATTTGGGGGGCATTCTGGGGGTGGGCGGGGATGTCATGCAGTGTCCCCAGCACAATGGCATCACATGGAAGTCACGTGGCAACAGTCTGCATTTTGGGCAAGACTCTGTTTTTGTTGGCCTAAAACCACAGAGTTTTGCCGTGGGACATCCGTGTTTGGGGGTGGGGCTTCCCCCGCCAGCCAGCTGGCCGGCAGTGGGCAAAAGCCTGAAAAATCGGGGGAACCCCCGCCTGGACCAGGGGTCCGGCAACCCTACATATAGAATACAAAAAGCCCTTTCTATAGGGGATGATGACTGGTGCTTGTGTAGGGTTAGCCAAAGCCTTCTTAGCTGCAAAGTGGTTATGGCCAGCGGCACACTGTTTCCTTCCAAAGCCTGTCTGTTTTGCTTCTCCCCTTCAGTTTAATGTGACCCTTGGGCCGATAACCAGTGCTCCTGGAAGCAACTGTTCTTCAAGGGCATTTCCTCAGTGCATAGCCTGTGCCGCCACCATCAACATCACCCCTTCTGCTTGGTGACTACTGTGTCATTCAAAAGCTTCCATCCTCCTCTCTGACCAACAGAAGTGGGTCCCACGAAACAGACATCCCGGTTCCTGCCTTGTGCTTTTTGTTCCCTGGGCCTGACTGGGCATCGGCTGTTTACCCAGCTAACTGGGTCACTGCGTTACTTGGAAATGATCCCAGAGAGGCCGTGCCCTTTTCCTCTCCAACCTGTGCCATGCCTGGATTCCACCCCCACCCCCACCCCACCCCCGGAGTCAAAGCAGCTGCGAGGAGCAGATCAGGTTCTGATTAGGGAAAATATTCAGTCAAAAGGGATTTATTTCTAATGCAAAACAGCTTGCAGGGATTGCTGGTTGTGGGAGGCTGTCTTAGGCTAAGCTGCAGCACAGCCCTCTCAGCAGGAGCAGCGTTCGGACTGGCAGTTTTGCCCCCGCTTTGATTTTTCGAACCCTTCCTTGCCAACTGCCCTTCCATCGCAGGGTATGGACTTGCAGAGGACCTACTTGCAGAGAGCCAGTCTGGTGTAGTGGTTAGGAGCGCGGACTCTAATCTGGGAGAACCGGGTTTGATTCCCCACTCCTCCACATGCAGCTGCTGGAGTGACCTTGGGTCAGTCACAAGTTCTTTCAGAGCTGTTCTCTCAAGAGCAGTTCTCTCAGATCTCTCTTCAGCCCCACCTACCTCACAGGTGTCTGTGGTGGGGAGGGGGAGGGGAAGGAAAGGAAATTGTAAGCCACTCTGAGACTCCTTCGGGTAGGCGTAATCTTCGTGGGGGCGGTGGGGCGTCAGCCCCCGCCGAAATTTTCAGGAAGGTACTCAGCCTCCCCCGGGGGCCACCCTTGTTCCTAGCACAGCAATGCCTCTGACCCAGCCCCAGCCCCCCCCCCCCGGGGAATTGGAAAAACTATACCCT